TCCCTTTTTTTTTTTTTTGGTATCAAGATGGTACCACCGTCAAAGTCCGTCAATTTTTTTTTTATTTATTTTTGTATTTGTCTGATTTTAAAATTTTTAATTAATTTAAACAATAGAGAAAACAATTATTACTTTTTAAGTCCATGTCAGCAAAAAAAAGCCATGTTGGTGGTGAGATTCAATTTTTTCAATTTTAAAATTTGGTACAAGTTCCTATAATAGTTTCCTTTAATTTTTAATTATTGTTTACTCTTTTAAAAAAATTGTTGTTTTATTTTTATATTTATGTGATTTTAATTAATTTATACAATAGAGAATTTTTTATTATTAATTGTTAGGTTAGTCTCACAAAAAAAAAAAAAAAAGGCATGTGGCTGGTGAGATTCAATTTTTTAAATTTTTTAAAGTTTTATAATAGTTTCCTTTAATTTTTAATTATATATTACTATTTTAATTCATAGATACATTTTTACCCCTCAATTTAACAATAAAATTGACAGACTTTAACAATAGGACCATCTTGATACAAAAAAAAAAGAGTTGAAGGACGATTCAAATGAAAATTTTAGTTGGTGGACCAAAATGATACTAGAGCAATAGTTGGGGGACCATTAGGATCAATAGCCCTTTTAGAGGAGGATACTCACCTAAAAATACGGTTTTGTCCCTCGATTTCAAGGAATAATACACAGACTTTGACGGATGGACCATCTTGGTACAAAATAAAAAGTTTAAGGACGTTTGAATTGAAAATTTTAGTTGGTGGATCAAAATGATAACAGGGCAGTAGTTGGGGGACCATTTAGGTAATTAACCCTATTTTATTTTACTTGTATTTCTATCATAAAGTGAAGTTGGTAACACTTTGTGGACCACTAGTTTTTCCCGAACCATGTTAAATTCTTGGTGTTGTCTTTTGTTTCACTCCTTGTCATCTTGGCGCATTCCTTTTTTATTTTGTTGTGATGAGGAAGACTAATTTTCCCAACAAGTGGTATCAGAGCTTTGACTCGATGATCACGGTGCTTGTAATCCTAGATTCGTTATGGCAAGGAGTATTCCCTCACAATTCAAGGTGGAAAAATTTGATGGAAATATAAGCTTTACTATTTGGTAAAGAAGAGTGAAGGGTAAGGATGCAAAGCAGGAGAGGATGGTGGTTATAAGTGAGAAGACTTAGAGTCAAGGTATGTTAGTATGGTCCAACTCTACATTGCAAATAACTTTATCAACAACTCTATAGATGAAGGTACAAAACTCTTGAGCGGTTTATTTTCTTGTACTTGTATTTCTCCCATATAGTGAAGGGGGTAACACTTCATAGACGTAAGCTCGTTTTTTTGCCGAATCCCGTTAAATTCTTGGTTTGCTCTCTTGTTTCACTCATTATCATCTTGGTACTTTTTTTTTCTTTCCATCTGTTTTGTTATGAAGAGGGGGAATAATTTTCCAAAAACACATACCTTCCAAGTCGAGTGAATCCCTTAAAAAAAACTTGGAAAATCCCCTATATGCCCGGCTTTTGCGTGAAAGTTATGAGAAATATATGAGCCTCCTTGCCACTCTTTTTTGAAATTGAATGATGATGCCTCATGGAACAAGGAAGCTTTCAAAGTGAGTTTGGGGCTTATCCTTATAGTTGCGATTGGTACTGTCAAAGCAGTTGTTGCTTGTTTTTCTTTCCTTCCAAGGTTTTGGGCGGGTGTTGATACAAAATGGTAGGTTTAGATGTTAGAAATATGTGCATGAAATCAAACTCGTAGGATGTCTCTTCGTCGATTGAATCATATTTATCTCAACATGAAGTTAGTCATTGTGGGTATTTCAAAATTCAGAATTTTGAGATATAGTCCAATTCTAATGTTTTTTTTTCTTTTTCAAATTTTCCAACTGTGGAATTGTTGATTGTCATATTTAATTTGGGAATGCCTAAGCTGGAAAATTTCATATCAGAATAAACTGAAATTTGAATTTCTTATCTAACTTGCACCCCTAGGACGGAGAAATGGGTCATATACCCACATCTTTTATGGTTCAATGCACATCTTCTTTGGTTCAACATGTTGGACTGAAACCCAAACTTTTAGTTTTTAGGTTGAAAAAACGATTGTATATAGGCAGGCCATGATTTAGGAAATATTATAGGGTCATGCGTAAATTGCAGTTTGGTTTCGGCTGGACTTAAAGCTTGCTACAAGCCTACAACTTACGTGGAGACGTACGATTCATAATCTAAACTATAGGGGAGATGGGGTTTCTCACTCACAAACACTACTATGATGTTATGGGGGTTTGAACCTGAGACGAGCTAAACCGTGTTGGCATCAAAATAATAATATTAAAATTAATCTAAATCGGATCTAATCTCAAAACTTATCCCAAACTCTATAAATAGCCATATATTTGTTTAAAATTCCACACAAAATCAATTTCTTCCTCTCTCACATACAGAGGTGCTTCAATCCTTTTTATTGTCCTTTCATTAAGTGAAATAAAATTATGTTTTCGAAATTTAAATTTTTTGAGTTAAAGTGTTCATAAAAATAAATTATAATGGTATAAACAAAAATTACTCATAAAAAGTTAACCACACAAAAAATTTGAGGTTAAAACTACTCTTAAATAATTAATAAAGTTATGAACTCAAATTTTGAGACTGTTTGTGTAATATTTGTATTTTGAAAGAGAGAATTTTTGGCTTAGCCTCCATAAACATTGAAAATGGTCTTTGATTAAAAAAAAAATTGAAAATGGTCTTTGATTAAAAAAAACATTGAAAATGGTCTGACAATAAAATTAAAAATTTCAAAATTATAGAGCACTTTACGATAAACCCTAAAACCTTTCGATCGATCCATACCCTTGACCAAAAAAATGAACAAAAGAAAAGTAAATAAATAATCTCGACAGATACTCTACAACTATAAATGATTCAGTTGCAACTTCACCGCTACACAGAAACGAACCTTCACAAGTTACACTCCTCTCTCTCTCTCTCTCTCTCTCTCTCTCTCTCTCTCTCTCTCTCTCTCTCTCTCTCTCTCTCTCTCTCTCTCTCTCTCTCTCTCTCTCTCTCTCTCTCTCTCTCTCTCTCTCTCTCTCAGTCCCTTTCTCAGTCTGTACCTCTCCCTCCCTCCCTCACTAGCCCATGGCAGAGGATATGGATTCTGATACATGCGTCGGCTTCAAACGAACAATAAAAGAGATCCAAGAAACCCCAACTCTCACACAACGCTCTAACTCTCCATCTGCTCCCATTCCAGAACAAGATAGCCACTCGTCTGAGATCGTTTCTCCGCTGAAACAAGACTCAGATTTCACCGACAAGAGTCCTCCTTGTTCGGTCTCCGATTCCTCTAAGAAGGTCAAGCTTTCACCTCACGGCCAAGTCTCTGAGACCCATCTTGAAGAAATTCAAGAAATGCCCAATTATGTGAGTGGAAAGGCCGAAGCTTGCGGTTTAATTTCTGGCTTAACTGTATCTGATGGAGTTGCTCAAAATTTTATGGAAATTTGTGAAATGGGTCTTGTTTCTGATAGCGAATTTGTGAAAACTGAGACTGAACAGACCCCGGATGATGAGAAAGAAAGGGTTGTTTCGGATTTGGTTGACAAGAAAGGTGAAGGTTCTGTGATAAGTGAAGTGGGTTTTGCTGATATCGAAAAGTTCATGCAAGAGACGAAGTCTGTTACTGAATTGGACTGCAAGGAAGGTGTGGATGCTTCTCTGTCTACTTCTGTTGAAAACAAAGTGGTTTTTGTTGGAAAAGAAGCGGAATCTCAGAGTTCCTTGGAACTGAAAAAGAAGCAATTACTGGAGGAAGTTGAAGCCATTCTTGTGCCTGCAGAAAAGACCCTTGTGCAAAGTGGTACTGATGGGTCTCTCAGTTCTTTCAATATTGAAGTAATTGATGATACTGCAATGATATCATTGATTGGCAATGGCTGTGGAAAGGAGTTGGGTTTTCTGGGTCCTGCTAAATGTGTTGCACAGGGGAATGGAAACAAGAATGCAAAAAAAGAAATGAATGGGAAAAAAAAGGCAAGAACCTCAGGAAGAAAGGAAAAAGTGGCTAATCATCTGGTTGAAGCTCATAGCGTGAGTTTAAAGAAAGGAAAAGGAACCAAGATCTTTTACTCGAGGATGGAGTTGGAGGCCATGAGGTATGTAAACGTGGTTGAACAAAAGAAACTGTGGAAAGATATATACCGTGGACTTGGGCCAGTCGTGGCCAAGGAGTATGAAAATCTGGCAAGTGTTAAGCATCAGAAGAACATCCGCAATAACTTTGAACCTCACAAACTCTTTGAGAAGATGGAAGTGCCACCTGGTACTCTTGGTAAGTACAATTTATTTATTTATTATTATTATCTTTATACATTTTGTGGGCAAATTCTTATTAGAACTCTGTTGGATGATGAAAAGATGATGTATGAAACTTATATGTTTTAGTAATTGTTATTAGTACGGAGAGCGGTATTTAAATTAATTTTGTTGCAACTTTTATCTGCTAGTAATTGTAATTTCTATGAGTGAATTGTTTTTAGTCTGGTGATGTTTGTAAAATAATTTGTGGCACCTTATATCTGCTAGTGATTTTGAACTCAATGAACTCCCAGCTTGGTCGTCAAAGAATTGCTCTATCTTTTTCTTTTTAAATTCCTTCTATTGCAAAGCGTAGCATTCTTAATGTATGAAATAGAAGAATATTTCAGAATTAGCTTTTGTAGCATTATTAATTTTTATGCAATTCTTCTTTCTAATGAAAAGATCCTTATATTATAGCATAGCATTCTAAATGTGTGCGAACCACTGTGACAAAGTGTCCATCATAATAGTTTCACAGAACCAGTTCTCTAAACCTCTAGACAACATGATAGAATACTGCTTAAATGACATTTATTTGGTTAGGATAAAGTGCTTATGACTTAATCTCCTAGGTTGTGCTCGGGACACTAATAGTTTTGGCTGTTGTCATTGTCAGCATTAAAAGGTTGTTTGGATATTCCCTTACTTTGCTTCGGATTTGTCAATGTAATGATAGAGGTTGAACGAACTCACCTACTTTAATGGTGAATAGCCGTTCTGTTTTGTCTTGGTCAAGTTTAGTGGGCGCAGAGGCAATAAATTGCCAATGGACCGTTTTCACAAACAACAATTTTTTTTTTTGGCATCATCTTTGCTGAACCATATCTGGTTCCTGCTCCCTCCCCCTCTTTTATAGCCTTAAGTGGCTAGTCTTCGTTCTTGCATTCCCTAACCAGTAAATAAGTGGTGTCATTGTTTCTTTGATTACTCAAATAAGTGATATCCTAACCGAATTCCCCTCTCTCACTCTTTCTAGTTTGCTAATGAAAACACTCGTCTTTGTTGCGTACTACCTCGTTCAAAGTAGTTTATCAGGCACCTTATTGTTCTATCTCCACATCACTTTGACAAGGAAGCCTGCATTGCCATTCAAGTATATGCATCGTGGCTTTTCATAATGTGACATGTCCAGTATTTTGTCCATTCTATTTCTGACACTCAAAATTCCAGATTATTTGATTTTCACTTAATTTAGACTTCTTTTCTTCAGCATTTGAAAATGCTTTGTGGTTGTTTGGATCTGGTGACAATATTTTATCTCTCCTTTTTTTCTTTTGCATTTACTTTAGGCTGTTGTGATTTTGAAATCTATCATTTTCTCAAAGTACATCTCCTATGTTTCTTTTTCTACATTAACTCGATTTCTTAAAGATCAAGGGCATAAGATTTTAAATCTTTGTCTTTCTGTTCATTGTTGCACTCATAGTCCTTTACTTTCCGAAGTGCAGCTTTTAACCAGTTTCACAGACTTTCTTCCAATCCTGTAATCCATTTGTAGACATTTTTGAATTCTCTTCATATGTCTTTTCTCTCATTGTTCTTAGCTCTGATTGTGTCAATTTGATGGGTTCAATTTCTGTTGTGCACAGGTGTGGTTGCTTCAAGGGGAAGATGGAATCAAATGAATATCTTTGTGCATTGAAGAATGGCCTAACACAATCTGCAAAAGACCTAATGTCCAACATTCTCGACATGTGTTTCTTCTTCTGTGTACTTAGGTCCTTGATAGGGTTGTCTTGTGTACTACTTGTATACAGTCCTTGTACATGGAAATTCTTGCTTTTGGTTTCTAGTTTGTGAAACATACTTAGTCATAAAGATGTTGGTATATACATTCTTCCTGTAGATGAACAGTAATAAAAATGATATTCCCATGTAATTTGTAGTTGTTTTGACTGCGTACTTGAATGAAAGGAGTTTCTTTAACCTGTTTACCTTTACTTCTATGGATGTCACTAAAAAACACATTACCTTTTTTATGTTCAGATCAAATCTGTTGTTTCTACATTTGTGTGACATTGCTAAGATTTTTGTGATTACTTTCAGGGGAAGCATTTTCAGAAAATGTGGATATTGAATTCGAAAACTTGGTGAATAATCAAACCCAAGATGCAAGTTCCCTGGACCCTTTTAGCAGTTACAGTGCCACTGATGAAAATGGCTACCCATTTCCAGAAAAAGAGTGTAGTGAAGATGATGACAGTGATGAAGATTATGCTAGCATTCAGAGACCTGCTTTTGTGGTTGAAGGAGAACCCAACTTTGATTCTGGTTCACCAGAAGATGGACTTGAATATCTTAGGCGTGTCAGGTATAATTATTTGGTCTTGTCTATACCATCCCCTTTCCCTCAGTATCTGATTGATAATGCTAACTGCCTTCAGTATGTAGGCTATAACATGGTGGCCTTCTTCATGGTATATAGGCCATGGGTTAAATGTTGGTTCTCATGGGTGATTGGTTGCGTGGGATTACTAGTTGTTATAACCATGACTATTGTCGGAACATATTTCTTAATTACTGAAGTAGATCCTACATTATTGTGACACGGGGAGTTTTCTTGGTATGCAAAAGATGCAAAATCAGAGGATCAGATTCCTTGCTGTACGGCTAGAAGTCATGAGTTACATTTTATAGCCAGCCTAGTAGAAACCTTCTTTTGAAATTCCTTCTTTTATAGCAAGGATCAGATTCCTTGCTCTACATATTGCTTTTGAAACCATCTTTTGAGACATGAATGAATTTGGAGAATTTCCAGCAAGCATATGCTTCTCCCTAGGACTGTGTGATGCAACCTAACCTTAGATATGATGCCTAAGGCCTCTAGGATTGATTGCTAGAACCATACTGGTGTCATGATAGTAGTTGTATCATTTCTGTGCTTCCTTAATTCCTTTCTTTAACTGCCAACAATTTGCATCAACCACAAGGACTTATTCACACAAACAAGATTTTTTCTACTTATCATTCTTGCTTGTCCTGCATCATATTGATTTACTCATTATGGTTTATTTATTTATTTATTCCTTATTTTCTGCGTCGTTCTGCATTGATGTAAAGGATTACATCTTTCAGGGCTAATACCATACTCATTATTATTTTTTCTGTATATTTTAGAACATAAAAGGACTGTTGAAAGGACTGTTGATCCACATCTTAGAAAAGCTTAAGATTTTAAATTTATTTATTTTTAAATTTTTTTATTTATAAGAAACATAGATTTTCATTGAAAAGAAAAGGAGATCACAACACAGGGGACAAGGTGTTCCATAAACTACACCCAGCTAAAGAAGAACAAAACAGAAAACCAATGAAAACAGAACAAAAGAACAAACTAATATACAACAGTGCTCCAATTAGAAAAACAAAAACAGCATGAAAGGACCAATCCTTCCAATCTGAGGAAACTGAACACATAAGCATTTCCAGAAATGAACACTGTTCCACAAATGATCAATATCCTTCCCCCTAGCAGCCTTAAGAATTCTCCCATTTCACTCTATCCAAAACAACCCAAAATATTGTCAGCACATCACATCTTCCTAGCACTTTTCCTCTCTCCATAAAACTTAGTCTACTCTCAACATAATGCAACAAGATTCTGGGATTCATGAACTCAATCTGGACCCCCTAAACACCCTTATCCTCAATGAATGCACAACTGGAAAATGGAGCATTAAATGGTTCAGACATTCAGCATCTCTTTTGCACATTAGTACACACCATTGAGGACGAAGATTACAGTAAATTTTCCTCTTCTGCACCATGTAGAAAAAGCTTAAGATTACAACAGTTGTACACTAATAAAAGATTATCATGGTATTACAACATCGACAAGTTTAAGATTACAATAGTTGTAGAAAAGCTTCAAATCCCTGCAACTACTATCTTCCGATTTAAGATTACATAAGGATATGATGGGGAACTTGGTAATTTTGCCTGATTTTGAATTCTGCACCAGTTATTTTGCAATGACTTGTCTATCTGTTATGTTGCTCTTGGTTGAGGTATTTGACCACGATGTGCAAGAAAAGTCAAGGGCCATTGAGGGCCATGGGGCCACTTAAGAGCTAGATATCACTGTAATGAGCTTCTAAGTTTGGGTGGAAGGCTCAGGTTTACTTTTTTCTCGTCACTACTTACGGTACATTTATTTATGTAATTTTTCTTTTACATTTTTGAAAGGTAATGTTCTGTGGGGTGTGAGCAAGAATTTTTGAAATACACTAGTCGTAAGATTGAGTAGAATGTAGAAACTAATTCGTATACGACTGCATGAGAAGGAATGACAACTTTATGTCTGAAAATTAAAGTCCTAAAATGCATCTTTAGATATTGGCCAAGGGAAAAAAAAAGCTTCTTGGACTAGGCTAAATTAGGTTTTCATGCCATTTGGCAATCAGTGTAACATTTGGGGAATCAGGCTAGCAACTCAGGGATGATGTATTTATGGGGGGTCTCTTGAGTTTTCTTGGGAGAGTTGGAAGCCTCAAGGAATGTTTGTGAATATTGCTTACTTCTTTTAGTAGTGGCCATGCCCATCTTGCAATGCTTTTGAGCAGAACACTTGCTGGAATTTAAAGCACAATATGGAATGGATCAATAATGCATTAATGCCTACATTAGTTTGTTATTTGGCTTATTGATTGACAAGATGCACCAGGCTTGATGATAATCTGAGATTGTAGAAAAAGAGGATAGAGGAGATAAGTGGTTGGTAGGCTTGGCTAAGGTACTTGTCAGAAATTTGTCTTGGGTGTGTGGTTGCTCTCTTTACAGAGCTGACTTGTAATAGCGAAATTTCTGGTGTGTCAAGCTTTCTGGCCACCACAAAATGTGGGATATCACATGCATTCGAAGAGAAAAGGCTGCATGTTCTGTTGAGTCAATATATAATATCTCATAGAGATGCATTTTAGAGAAAGATAAGGTCTAGAAGGCTGTCTCCCAGATGCACGTATCTTATTTTTGGTTGATATGATCGTTATCATTTGAAATGAGGCTCCAGGTGGAAATTGAGGCTGTTGCTTCGCAACCCATATATCTAGCACATATATAGTCTAATATTTATGTCAAAGAAATAAAGGTAATCTTGAGAGTTGCACAGATCTCACGATTGGTCTCCATCTTATGCATGTCTGGGTGGTTGAGAAAGAGAGGGTGTGAGTGCCTTGTGTGTGCGCTCGTGTTTGCATGCATGAGATAGTGTACTAGAAGTCAATAATTATTTCTATATTATACTGTATATATGACGATAATCAAAGCAGTATAAACATGTATTTTACATTGTTTTCTGGATGTTGTATGGTTACCCTTATTACCTGTGCAATCCTATAAAAAAGTAATTTAAATATGGCTGTGAAGGAATGAATACTTTTATCAAAGTGAAAGCCACCATGTGAATGGGAAGGGGTTGCACCAGAAGAGATCTTAGCAAAACATTAAGAACAACAAAAGTGGAAGTAATTCATGACCTTAAACAAAGGCAGATTATTTGGACTGCTAAGGGGGGAATAAATGTAAAAGTCAGTATCACCTATTGGCTAAAGAATTTGAAAACGGTGTACATCTTTTATTACTGATTGCAACTGAATTTAGTTGGTGATGTGCCCCACTGAAAGCTTGTTCAGAAAATTTATGAACTGCCAGCTGTCATGAATTCTGTAAGGGTCAAAGTTAAGATGTCATATATTGAGTCTATTTGTTGAGCAAATTCACTGAAGCGACAATTAAACCAGAGAGAAGTCTCTATAAACTGAAATGTTGACCCATTTGAAAGATCACTTGATGCAGATGAAACCACTGAGCTTTGTGTTTAATCAAGTAATGAAACCCAGAGGAGTTCTTAACTGTCCTGATGTTAATTATTGATATATTATTTTTGTTCTCATTAATATTCAAGAGATAAGACTATCTTAGGTATTAATAGGAACCTAGGAAATAGGACCTAATATGTTGAAACATTTTGCCCATCAATTAGATAAAGCTTTATGTTATGATGCCAATATCAGTCCTGGTTTATGAGGAGCACACTGTTAGAGAGAGTAAAAGATTGGGGAATTCATCCATCAGATCCAGTTCTCTAATCTCATCTGGCTAAATCATATATGAAATTCTCTCTCTCTCTCTCTCTCTCTCTCCAAACCTTAATGATTTTCTATTCTTGAAAAGTTGTATGAAGCTTGAAGCTTTTTGCTAGTTCTCATTTGCCTTAGAACAATGTATAAGGGAGTGGCTTAGGTAGTCATGCAGTAATATCCTGAGTAAGTTTGACGTTGATATAGCATTGTTCTAACCATATTTATCTTTTAGGTGGGAAGCTGCTCGAATTCCAAAAGTGAGAGTAGCCAAGCTTGATAGAAGTAAATTTAACATAGAGCAGAGTGATTATATGCCCAAGATTCCTGAGATTGCCAAGTGTCCAGAACAATTGCTGCCACTGAAACAGTGGGAGGATGCATTTCTTGCTGAATTTTCAGAGCTAAGGCTGGTATGTTCTCATCCTGATTATTCTTCGTGCTCTTCTTCCTATAGGAGAATTAGTTATTCACATGGTAAACATGAAATTTGGTTAAGAAGGTGGTCAGCTCTGCTTGTCTTGGTGCTTCTCTTGACACCAGATTCCTGTACCTCTTTGTGCCTTTATTTTTTACCACAGTGGTTAAGCCTTTTGCATGGAAATCTTTTCCCCCCTTCCATATCTTCTTTGTTGTTAAGTTGCCAAATACCTTTGAAAAATTCTGTTTTTGCTGCACATGATGTTTCTAGTTTCGCCATAGACACAGTCGGGGGAAACTAAATTCATTAAGCATGTGGAGGGTAGAGAATGCATTTTATTGAGGTCTCCGGATTTTGTTAGTCAGGACAATTTTTATTTATCAGTCATGTGTTTCTTCTTTGAAAGAGTGTACTTAAGGTAAATGGTTTAGGGTTTAGGGTATTAATATAAACATAGGACCTAAACCCATTATAAAGCTGGAAGAAAGGTAGCCATTTTTGGCAATCTTTTGTTTTTTTCAATATTCTTTTCCAACATTAAGTGCCACTTTTCCTATTATATAGAACACTTTAATAAACTAGGGATCTTAAGGCGGCAAGGTAATACATTTGATAAAGGGAGAGTTGACTTCATTTTCTGACTTCTACTCTGATCTTACTCTCAGGCTGTGTCTCGTTTTGAGGGTTATAATGCAAGCACGTCTCTAGATCCCCAATCAAAAAATCTTCTTCATGACTCCCATCAGCTACCTGGGAGTATTGTTTTTGAAAAATTTGCTAGTGCTAAATCCAAGGAAATTGACATCCACTGGCCTCATGACTGTCTCGGGAGCTCCATTGATCAGCTTTCCTTGTCGACTACTGAAGGCAGTAATGCCTCTCTGCCTGCTGAGAACTTCAGTCCTAAGTCTCATGTGAGCCAAAGTTCCAGCGACTCCCCTTTGTTGTCAGTGATCTTACGAATGGACTCTGTAGCTCGAGTGTCGATGTTGAGAAAACGCATAAACGCCATAGAGGCCATGAGCACTCTGTCCAGGAATGACTGTGTCTGGCTATTTTCTCTGTGTGCGGTAGTTGATACTCCACTAGATGCTGATACTAGTGCTTCCCTTAGAAGTCTGCTAAGAAGGTGCGCTGCCTTGCGAGCTGCAAAGTATGTACTCGACGACGAGGTAGTAATGTTGAATATTCTTGCTACAATTTCAGGTAGATATTTTGGGCAGTCAGAAAACTGAAGCTTTCTAATATATTACATCTCTTCTTGAAGAAAGGCTCAGGTATCATTTTGTTTCGGGTACGACTTATGTCTTATCTATACAAATCGAGTGTCAAAATACTTAAACTTGTATCGGCATTGCCGTAATTTTGAACGTACCATGATGGTAGTGCTCTATTTTCTGTTGTGTGCCTGGAATCACTTTAAAGGAGTGACACCCCAGTATTTTCCAGTGGTTTACCGGAGCTGATTGAACTAGATTGGTTCTGGTTGTGAATATTTGACACTGGGTTCTGGTTTTCAGTGGGTTATTTAACGAGTTTTAACACTTCAAATGGGTGCTTGTAATTCTGCATGCATGAGAGAGTACTTAATGGGCACGGGTCGTCATGCGGATGAATCCCGACTATCCAGTTCTCTTTTTGTCAGTTGTCCCGAGTATCCAGTTTATTGTAACAATGTCTTTTTATTATTATTATTATTATTATTATTATTTTAAATTTAAATTTTAAATTTTAATTTATATAAAAAAAGATAATAAAAATGGTTGACAAACATTTTCTCAAGAGATTCATTGGCTTGGCTAAATTACATGCTTAATCCATTAAGACATTAATAAATTCACAAGTAATAATTTTCATATAAGAGATCCCTTTGCATATATGTATTTCAAGAGTACATAGGTTTGAAAACAAATATCATTGCAGCTACAAGTTATCCCCTAACTACTTGGAGACGAGGGATGGCCTTGCCTACCCCTACCAAGCATTCTCTTCTAACTTTCATAAGTTTCTTTTAGTGAATTGTAGAGATGTTGGATATAAATTTATTTTTTATTTGAGATGTTCGCATAAAAAAGATGTTTCTATTAAATTAAATTGCAAGGAATGCCATGCCCTCTAGGAGTGTCCATTTGGTGGGATTTCAACTACCTCCTGAGCTATGGAATTCTTTTCTTTTTCCTTTTTTTCTTTTTCCCTTCAGACATAGTTCATTAAATTTTATAACTTTGCTCCACCCTAATCACATAACTTATTTAATGCATGGCAGTCTTAGAGCATCTACAATGGGCTCCTTAAACCACCTCTTTGGATAAATTTTAGGGAGGATTTGGAAAAATACAACTTTAACCATGCTCCCTATCCACCTCCTAAAAAATAAAGAGACCTCTAAGAGCTCCTAAATATGAGGAGAGAGAAAGCACTCCTAGTGACTTCCTATAATTTAGTATTGCTTTATTTTATGAGTATTTAAAACCTTTAATTAATGCTAACTATTTTTTTATATAGATGAACCAATTAAAAGAGTAATAGCATTTATGAATTCCTAAACTAGAGAGTATGATTGGAGTTAAAATTTCATTGAGAGCTCCTAAAATAGTTTTTGTATGTTTTTAGCTAAATTTTATCTTTTTGTCAGTTGTCCCGAGTATCCAGTTTATTGTAACAATGTCTTTTTATTATTATTATTATTATTATTATTATTTTAAATTTAAATTTTAAATTTTAATTTATATAAAAAAAGATAATAAAAATGGTTGACAAACATTTTCTCAAGAGATTCATTGGCTTGGCTAAATTACATGCTTAATCCATTAAGACATTAATAAATTCACAAGTAATAATTTTCATATAAGAGATCCCTTTGCATATATGTATTTCAAGAGTACATAGGTTTGAAAACAAATATCATTGCAGCTACAAGTTATCCCCTAACTACTTGGAGACGAGGGATGGCCTTGCCTACCCCTACCAAGCATTCTCTTCTAACTTTCATAAGTTTCTTTTAGTGAATTGTAGAGATGTTGGATATAAATTTATTTTTTATTTGAGATGTTCGCATAAAAAAGATGTTTCTATTAAATTAAATTGCAAGGAATGCCATGCCCTCTAGGAGTGTCCATTTGGTGGGATTTCAACTACCTCCTGAGCTATGGAATTCTTTTCTTTTTCCTTTTTTTCTTTTTCCCTTCAGACATAGTTCATTAAATTTTATAACTTTGCTCCACCCTAATCACATAACTTATTTAATGCATGGTGGTCTTAGAGCATCTACAATGGGCTCCTTAAACCACCTCTTTGGATAAATTTTAGGGAGAATTTGGAAAAATACAACTTTAACCATGCTCCCTATCCACCTCCTAAAAAATAAAGAGACCTCTAAGAGCTCCTAAATATGAGGAGAGAGAAAGCACTCCTAGTGACTTCCTATAGTTTAGTATTGCTTTATTTTATGAGTATTTAAAACCTTTAATTAATGCTAACTATTTTTTTTTTTATATAGATGAACCAATTAAAAGAGTAATAGCATTTATGAATCCCTAAACTAGAGAGTATGATTGGAGTTAAAATTTCATTGAGAGCTCCTAAAATAGTTTTTGTATGTTTTTAGCTAAATTTTAACTTAAAAATAGAGAGCATGATTGTAGATACTTTTACAAACTAAATAAATCGACCAAGTTGAATTAAAGCTTGGTAGATAAGTAGTATTAATTCTCTTCTAATAACAAAGTAACATAATCTTATATTTCTGCACTCATTCATGTTTTCGTGATGTATGTATATGTTCTTCATTTTTACCTTCTCGGTATGTGCATTATATGGTTTCGAGTTTTTTATTTTATATTTTATATTTTGCTCATTTGAGTTATGAATTATTTTAACAAGAAATGTTCATAATTCAAATTCAAAATTTGGGAGTAAAAATGTACCAAATAAAACATTTTAAATTGGTTTTCATTATTTAGCTTCAAGGGTAAAATAGTCATAAAAACTAAGTAATAAATGAAAATTTGGTTTTTATTCAATAAAAGTAATACGAGCGACTTTCCTAACATTTTGGTCATTGACTAAGTCTACATTGAAAGGGCCTATTAAAAAATGCAAAAACGTAAACACCAAATTCTCCAAATTTTATGAATACACCATATACCCTAAAGTATTCATACATAAGAATTAAAAAAAAAAAAAAATAAATTCAAATTGAAACAAACTAACAGAACACACAAGAATCCCACCCAAGCCAAATATCAACGGGTCCTGAAACATCTGGCTATTCTAGGCCGAACCAACTTGCTTCCTTTGTTTATTTTCTTAGGGTTTTTGTTTAACTGCCAGAAGAATAATGCTTACGCCCACATTAGAAACAAATTCCTGAAATATTCACTACAAAATCAGAGATCACTATACACAATTTCACCTAACAATAACCGACCAAAATCAATGATTTTGGCTCCAGCAATTAAAATATCAAAGTCTCTCATTGTTTCGAAGTTATCTTCAACAACCACGTGTTTCTCCATCTCCTCGAGGGCAAGCCTAGCAGCTTCTCTATCCCTCTGCCGCTGCTTCTTGTTGAAGTCATTGGCTCTCAAAATTTCTGCTTCTGCAGCTCCAAGCCTTGCATTCTTGGCATCAGTGGTAATTGTTCTAGTGTAGAGAACATGGTGTTCTGCTTTAAGGATGGTGTTTGCAAACCGAGCCTTCAACATTGCAATCCTAGCAGCCCTTCTCAGAGAAAGATTATTACTGATCTCATGATAATATGCAGAGGAGGTGGCTTTGACTGGTGAGACATGATAGGGAGGACGCTGGAGTACAGTCATTGGTGTTTCACAGCCACTCATGAAATTATTGCAACTTTGGGATGAAGAAACCTCACAAGAAGAAGTTGAAGGCGTACAGATAAGGCCATCATAACCACCTTCAACTTCCTTGTTCAAACCCCAAGCACCTTCAAATTTCCTCTTCAAACCCAACCCATTATCAACTTCATTTTTCTGGGAACCCAAGCTACCGTCCACTTTCTTCTTCAAACCACCTTCAAGTTTCTTCTTCAAGCCCAATTTACCACCATAATCGATAGGGCCATGTTTCTTGAAATGAGCATCTACATGAATATCGTCAATCTTAGATATGATCCTCTGCCTCTTTACCATCTTGCTTTCATGACCCATAAACCACATTTCAATTTCGGAATCGAAGTCGGAGGAGAAGCAGAGGGGATGCTTCTTAGTCGGCTCTACTGGTGGTGGTGGAATTGGATTTTTCAGAAGGCGGCAAACAACTTCCTTGAAGAAGAGAAAGTTGAGGAAGAAGAGGAAGGATTAGTCTTGTTGCAGCAACCGTTGAAAAGACTCGCTTTCCCGAGTTTACACAGCCTATGAACCATCGTAAAAGATGTCGTTTAAGACTTGTTAACGTAGAAAGGATATGGAATGAATAGAGAGATGTAGAAGAAGAGAGTGAATTGAATTGAAGCAGAGAGTGAAGGAGCGAATGAATGCAAGTGAAGTGAACGCAAGAAAAGAAACCCTAATTAATCACTAAGCTTGAGAGTGAATCCTGATTTGATAAGGAAACCCAAATGAACTATTTAATTGCGTGAAATCTAAAAGCTACTATGACAATTGTTGACTTCGGCTTCAAGCAACCAAGCAACTTAAAACCGCAGCTGACCTAAGCTGGTCAAATCAAATTCATTTATTTCTGTGTAATTTTTTTAAAAAAAGATAATGAAAATTGTTGCCGAACATTTTCTCAAGATATTCATTGATAACATACATAAATATATTTTATTACATGCTTAATCCATTAAGATATTAATAAATTCATAGGTAATAATTTTCATATAAGAGTTATCCACTTGTAATCCATTAAGACATTAATCAATTCATAAGTAACAATTTAAATAAATTGTTGGTTAGAAGGTTCTAGTTCATTTGTCTGTTGTTGAATGGCTAGGATCCACCACTGTAGTATGGTATATGGATGATCGAGTCGTTTGTTTAGTTTATTTCCTTTTCATTTTCAGTTCTTTACTTTTAGGATCCTATCAAATTAAAGCATTTGAGAATCTCTTCAAGATGTTAAATGTAAGATGTTAAATTGGATTTCGTTGCCCAGGTGGTAATTTGCGATTTTGTAAAATTTTTAACATTTTAACTTTACCTGAAATACCAAATCTCATACCTATTTTTTTCGAGATTTTCTATTTAAACCCCGCACTTCTCTTTGTTCACCCCAATACTTAAATTATTAAGTTGTAAGTTTTATTATTGTGTAAAAATACCAAAATGGTCATCCAACGTAATAATTCACCCTAGTACATCTATACACACACCCCACACCCCACACACCCCACCACTTTTCATATCAAGTTTTAGAAAAATACAAACTCTTCTATATCCTATTGCCAGATTACTCTTCTTTTTTAAAGACATAGAAAATTGACGAGCCTACCTCTTTAAATATGCGTGGGAGTTGATGGAAAGGCTTGTTGATTATCAACTCAACAATACCCAAGTGTTGGAATTCCAGTTACAGTTCTTGGAGAGAGGTAAAATTGTTCTCTTTCTCTAGAAAGTATTAAATTTCGAGTTTAGGGTTTTATTTGTTTGTTTTTTTTTTGCTGGGAACAAAGAAATTTGTGGGGTTTAAATAGAAAATCTCTTTTATTTCTTATTTTTTCAGTTTG